ATTCTTGATCAAAGGGCAGATCACTCTATCTGCATAAAAATACCACAAAATCAGATCTCTTTAGTGTGCAGTGTATAGAGGGCTCTTAAGGAGGGATTCTTGTCTAGTTTCTAACTAGATGAAATATTCAAAGTATATTTGCTTATATGTCTTATATATTTAGATGTAAGGAATTTAAAATATCATATTTTTCTTTCCTCATCATATTTGTACATGTACAACTTTAAATAGAAATGGTAAACTGAACTGTGACAATGAATTTAGTTAAAACTTTTAAACAATCAGAGACTTAAAGAAATTTTCAAATGTTAGTAAAATTAATAATAATGGACTAAAGTTTTAAAATATATCAAATAAATATGATTTGCCAAACAAACTACAATTTTATTAGCTTTTAAAAGCTTCCATTCTAAGGGTAGATTTGAGCAAAAAATCAGAAGTTTTTTTTTCTCTCTTAGTAAACGGTCAAAACTTCTTGTTTTTGTATCATTTTGCATCTTTATATGACTACTTTACCATACGTAAAAATAAGAAAAATTTCAATATACGACACTAATAAAGATAACTAATATATCCTAAAATTTAAGAAAAATAGAGGAAATTCGGATTAGCCAATATCTATTTTAGTTAAATTATTGATGTCAGATAGACCCTATATGTTAAAATATCTTTTTAAGCAAAAAGAAAACATTTAATCTTTTGAAAAAGAAGTAGGCATCCAATGATTGGCAACTGTAATTTTTATTTTTAATGTCAAGGAAAAAGATAATGATCTTGGCCTGACCTTGCTTCTAAAATAAAACGGTCAAATTTAATCTAATTGATACCATCACTTAGTGATGTTGTCTCCTTGAATCTGAAAATTTCATTAATTTTTATGTGAAGAATCTCTCTTTAACAGTGAAGTGTGACCTGTTGCTTGGGACCTTATACCTGTTAAAATCACTCATGCATATCACTTAGCATGTGGATATGATGCAATCAGTGAAGTTTTGAATCAGATTTAAAATAGTACATAAAACTAGACTTTGACCCGTGCTTGCACGGGTTGACATTGTTATGAATGCATCCATGTGCATATTGGAAATTTACAAAATAGATACATCGACACATTCATATTGTAAGTACTTTTGAAATAAACAATGAATGTGAATATAATTCTGTTTTTGTTTTTGTTTTTTTGTTTTTTTGTTTTCTTTTGCAAAATTGTTGCGTAATGGCATAGCTCAGAATGGCTTTGACCACCAATTAGCTATAAATCAAGTCATGAGTTAGAATCATGCCGGAGCTTACATAAATTTCACCTTTCCAAACAAATTTAATAAAAGAAATTATGGATATTTATTTGAAAATATGACAACAACAAAGAGTTGAGCACTGCTGATACATATCAAGCAAAGTAATGAAAATGAAGAAATGTGCCAAGCTGGTATTTTTATGCCCCCGGATCGAAAGATCCTGGGGGTATATTGTTTTTGTCCTGTCTGTCTGTTTGTCTATTTATCTGTTTGTCTGTTTGTCCATTTGTCTGTTTGTCCGTTTGTCTGTTTGTCTGTCTGTCTGTTGTCAACTTTAACCTTGCCCATAACTTTTGATTGGTTGGAGCTATGACTTTCATATTTCACATGTGTATTCCTTGTGACAAGACCTTTCTTTGGGTACCATCATATTTGACCTTTTGACCTTGACCTTGGAGTTTGACCCACTTTTGCAAAATTTTATGAGACTTTAACCTTGGCCATAACTTCTGAACAGTTGGTGCTTGGGGTTTCAAACTTCACATGTGTATTCCTTGTGACAAGGCCTTCCTTTAGATACCAACAACTTTGACCTTTTGACCTTGACTTTGGAGTTTGACCTACTTTTGAAAAACTTTAACCTTGGCCATAACTTTTGAACAGTTGGTGCTTAGGGTTTCAAACTTCACATGTGTATTCCTTGTGACAAGACCTTCCTCTCGATATCAACCACTTTGACCCTTTGACCTTGACCTAGGAGTTTGACCTACTTTTGAAAAAGTTTAACCTTGGCCATAACTTTTGAATGGTTGGAGCTAGGGCTTTCATACTTCACATATGTAATCCTTGCGACAAGACGTTCCTTTGGATACCAACCACCACTTTGACCTTTTGACCTTGACCTAGGAGTTTGACCTACTTTTGAAAAACTTTAACCTTGGCCATAACTTTTGAATGGTTGATGCTAGGGCTTTCATACTTCACATATGTAATCCTTGTGACAAGACCTTCCTTTGGATACCAACCACTTTGACCCTTTGACCTTGACCTAGGAGTTTGACCTACTTTTGAAAAACTTTAACCTTGGCCATAACTTTTGAATGGTTGGTGCTAGGGCTTTCATACTTCACATATGTAATCCTTGTGACAAGACCTTCCTTTGGATACCAACCACTTTGACCCTTTGACCTTGACCTAAGAGTTTGACCTACTTTTAAAAAACTTTAACCTTGGCCATAACTTTTGAATGGTTGGTGCTAGGGCTTTCATACTTCACATATGTAATCTTCGTGACAAGATTTTCCTTTGGATACCAACCACTTTGACCTTGACCTTGACATTTGACTTTTATTTAAAAAACTTTAACCTTCGCCATAACTTTTGAACAGTTGTATCTAGGTCTTTCAAATTTCATAGGTGTATTCCTCGAGACAAGACCTTTCTTTGGGTATCAATATTTTTTATCTTTTGGCCTGGATTTTGACTTGCATTTGAAGAAACTTTAACCTTCGCCATAAGCTGCCATACGGGGGCATCAGTGTTTCACAAACACATCTTGTAACACAATCAGTTATTGAACTAAAGGTGTAAAAATTTTTGTAATAATTTTAACACTGCAGATCTCAACTTGTTCAAAATATGACCTCAACAATAAAAGAGTTAAGCACTGCTAATACATATACTTTATATATACACAGGTAATAGACATGTATATAATCTGTAAAAGCAGAGATGAAAATGGACAAATGTGCTGTACTGGTATTTTTACATAATTTAGCAGATGTGAAGCAGAACAGATTATCTTGCAAGTGCCCCCCCCCCCCCCCCCAAAAAAAAAAAACATACTGGTTGTTCAAGAGATCATAATAAAAATTAAGAATATCAAATGTACTAAGTCTTTATATATGATATAAGAAAATGCTCTCAAGACTGTCTGTTTTGATAAAAATTAATAAACACAAAGGCATACATAAAAGACAGAGGGTAGTGTTGTTGACTACATGGCTATAGGATTTGACTGGTTATACCTGGGCCCAAGGTAACTCAGGGGGTGTTCACCGTATTGTTGACAGACCAGGGTCAGAGGTCATTAGATGTATTTACATAACAAAGCTATAAGCCTACAATAATGCTATTAATTTCACTACACTCTCCTAAGAAATATAATGTGAATTTTTTGCATGGAATCAAATATTTCTTTGCCCTTAGGTTATGTTTCATATTTACCACATTATAAATCTCAGCAGTGAAGGTAATAGTAAACATGGTGAACAAATTCAAGTTGCAATCATTTAGACATTTCAAATTGAAAATATGGGTTATATTGACGTTATTCAATTATTTCGATTTATTTCAAAGTTAAGAATTGAAAATAATGTTATTGTAATTTTTGGCGGAAAAAGAATGCGTACTTCACTAAGATGTGATTCTAGCTGGAGTTGTAACCCCCCCTTCCCCTCAAAAAAGCATAAAAAAAAGGAAGGATAAAATAAAATTGGGTAGTTACATTAATATTGCTCCTACGATCATGAGCTTTTTGCCTCTGTTGAGATGGCCAGAGACATAAATAACATACATGTATAATAAATGTGTCTCCGAGATGGCAAATGATTACCCACGTAGATAAACTCAGAAACGATAATACAAATACGTGTAAATTTTCATTGGAAATTTGCTATATATTCTGTTCATATATATTTATGATTTCTTATTAGAGAAATTATAAAATAACAAATATACATCTACTTAGTAGCTACTTTTCTCTTCTCTGATTTGAACACCGTGATTTAGCATGAATGTAATACGCACGCGCAAGATTGTAGAATCCAAAAAATCCAGATGATTTCCGGAATTTTTTGAGGAATTTTCGTTGATTATTAATTAGCGAAGCTTAACTGAGAAAAAATAAAAACAAACTGGTAATCTTCAAGTACCAATGATGTATAAAATATATAAAACAAAAGACAGTACTCTTCCGATTTATCGGTATTGAAGGCCAAAAATTTGAGTCTATAATTTTAATATAGTAGTATAGATAATCCATTTGAACATCCTTCTATAAATTTATTGCATCCATTGGGATGCACATTGAAATAATGGGTCCTGAACAAAATTGATTCATAATTTATGCAGGATGCAGACCAAAATGAATCACTGTCAGGGCTCGACATTAACTTTTTTTCCTACTTGTCCATTCGGACAAGTGACCAAGACATTTACTTGTCCGAACTTCAACGTCACTTGTCCGAAAAAATTTTCAATAAAGATCTAATACTGTCAACTTGAAAACTAAAATGAATTCCATTACATGTGCTTGATTGATTCATGATGTTATTGATAAATACAACAAACACATAACACAAAATTTTATCTAGACTTTCTGTCCTAACAACAACATAAATGGGACTGTCAACATCAAACAGAATCCAAACTTCATAAATTCCAGGCCTTTGCAGTAGTATGCAATTAGAAAACCTCAATCCCAATCAAGTGTGAACTCAACTACATAGTGATCCATATTGGAATCTAAGTTTGGTATTAGGAACATACTACTTCCGTCTTTGAACTTACCGGTAAACGATCGACAGTCGTTCTTTTTATTACTTTGAGACTTCTTTACATTTAAATGCACTTGTCCAATCAGACAAGCGCCCAGCAATATTCACTTGTCCGTAATTTTTTTTCACTGGTACCAGACAAGCAGACAAGCGTTAATGTCGAGCCCTGACTGTTAATATTAATCAATTTAAATTTATCTTCCAGACAAGCAGATGCACTGAAAGCAAGTATATCAGGTAAGTAAGAATAACTTACTATATCTGTAACTGGCCAAGTACTTTTTATGAAGGGAAAACACCTTTACTTAAAAAGATGCAAAAAAGAAAGTCCACAAATATCATTATTACAATAGATTTTTTTTAGAGTACTTTTTAAAATCTCTTTTCAGTTTGAATATTTTTAGGTTAGGTGACCTATAGTCCGAAATACTATTATAAGTTGTGAATTCAGCATTTAATTTGGTTCGCAAGTATCGAAAATCAACCCCGAGAATGCCGCCTCCAGTTGGAGGCGGCGAATTTCCAGTTTTTGTAATGGCGCCGGTTCTGACGTTTTCCTGGCACGTAAAATATCAAAATCGTGAAAAGAGCCTGGAAAAGGTCAGATATTTCGGACTAGGTGACCTATTGTTATTTGTTTTCAATCAGTGTTATGTGGCACATTGCATCAACTGTCATAAAAATTTATGCCATCTTTAAAAATCTTTTTTACTCCTGGACATTAAGTATTTAAATTGTTGGCATGATTTTGATAAGCTAAAAACCATCTACTGAAATTGTGAAGTTCATGGTCCAAAAATTGACTATGCATTACGTCTTATAAAATCTTCTTTACTCATGGATATTTAGCAGGCAAACTGTTTGCATAATAATATTGAGTACTAAACCTTTTACCAAAATTATGTATCATGTACTTGGATCCATGGTTAATGTCTTAGGGTGAGGCTTAGCTGGCCACAAATATTGAAAATACATTACAATTTGAAGTTTTTTACCTCTTATCCAGTGATTTTCTTTTGCTTTTGCACTTAGCATATGGAACTACTTGGCTGCTTTTTCATGTATATTTCCCACTTCCAGAAAGAAAAATGAAATATTTTAATACTTTAACTCTATTTTCCTGAATTTCAAAACTTGTTCCTGAGTTATTTTCTACTTTCGTTTCTTTTTGAATTATTCACCTTTGCTAAACAAATCAGATCGTCTGCAATGACAACAATGCAGTTGCGGGAAAGAAGGAAAGAAATTGTCATACGTGTGTTAAATGTTTGTCTCAGAGATAACTGGTATGAACAATAGAACTGTGGAGAAATGTTTTTATGCCGTTCATCTGTTAATTCTTAGGAAACAAATGCATGAGAAAAACGACACTGAGTGAGGACGGAATTCTTTCAATGTTAAACGGCATTGGACTCTTCTAGATTTTACAGCATGCTATGTAATGCTTGGACAGGTTGTGATATGTATTCATATGTTTGGTTTGAAATTCAGATGAAGAGATGAGCAAATGAAATCTAAAATTTCTGTGACCTGGAAAGAGTTGTTAGGGTTATGTTTGAGTAGCTTCCCATTATGTAACATTTACGAACCTAAAGATATCAGCTTATCAGGAAAAATATACCCATTGGGATATAGCAAAAATAAATAACACAACAGGTAAGCTTTTTGTGTTAAAACTATTATTGTTAGAAAGAGCTGGTAATGACACAACAATATTTGAGAATGTTGTTTCTTCGTTATGTATTACTCTGCATCTGAAAATTTAGGTAGCATAACTAAAGTATATGTTGGACAGTCATTTGTTTTTAGATTAAATCTCATCATTGAAAAATAAATATTAAATGTAATTAAAGTTATTGCATATTGGCACACCCTCATGGTACAAAATTTGTCGATGTTATTTGTCTTTTCTTTGATGTGGTTTCCTTCCTCCTTGATTTACATCATCTGTATTCTTGCTCACATTCTCTAAATACATGGAGGTGACGTGTTGTAGAATTACAAACATCACGTGAATTCACATCTGCTCCAGCAACAACTCGTTTGAGCAATTCTTCATCCCCCTTAGACCAGTCAATTAGAATCTGCTTTTGTTTTAATGTGATGGCACATTTTGCTGAAAACAGCTTATGATACTCGAAAAACTTGGTAGGCCAGATGTTGTTAATTTCAATAATATGTGCCAAATATCCATCATGTTCATTTTGTCTCCAGGGGTAAGCTGTACTGGGGCACACATGATCCTTTTATAACCACACAATGCTGTGACTAATTCACTTATGGTCAAATTCCTAGACAAATGTTTATCAGGCTTGTCATCCTTTTTCTCCGTTTGAATCTCAAAGGGGGGAATCAATAATGCACACATATTCACATCGTCACCTTTAAGGATTTTCTCACGCAGTTCTGGGGATACCAAATCCACATGTCCAACTTCCTTTTTGAAACCCCTATGTTATTGTGATACATGTTAAGAATGTTGGGAGTACCTGAAATTCCTGGAGATACACTGGTCGTAGGTACAGGCAAAGGATAGGCACTTCCGATTCCATTCCCAGTACACAGAGTTCAGGGATTTATCAGTACCTTCTCAGGGGCCGAAATTCGGCCCCATTCCCAATTGAAATTGAGTTCAGTTTTTCCCAATTTGGCAGTATTTTTTCCCAATTGGTGAACAATGCTTTTATATTTAATTATCTTGTAAAAACACAAGGAAAATTGTCAGATTGTCTGTTATTTTCATCTATTTAAGTCATTTAGCAAAGCTACAGTCATAAAACGTATAAAAACACTGTAAAAACATCGCCAACTTTTAATCCGAATTTCCTCTGTTTTTCTGAAAATGGTGATATTGTGTAATTATTTAGATTTATTAAGTTATTTCTACATACTCAATTGATCTATGAGTGAATGGTAAGGACTGTAGGCATTATTTCAAATAGAAAAATATATTTTCAATGCATTAATACATATTAATTGAGAAAATATAAGAACATACATTTTGAAATTTCATTGAAACCATCACCATTCAATAGAAAATACATTCCGAAGGATATGCACGAATATTTACCCGTGACATTTCGTGTGAAATAATGTATCGTGATCAACCTTTCGTAGTAGACAAATGGTCTGATGCAGAAGTATATAGAAGTGCAGAAAAAGATTACATGGACATGCCTGTATATGGAATTACATGAAATAAAAAGTTGAATACATAAAGAATAAAAGAAAGTAAACAGTATCAACAGAGAATGGCTAAAGATATGAATATGAAACTTGCTGAGGTGATAGAGCATCAAATGTAGATATATTGATCGACAATTAATTTTCGTCGTTCTTACTTCCGGTCGCAAACGAAAGTGAATTCAAAAATGTTAAATTTGCAACTTTTTTGTTTTTCAATATTTTTCTTTGGGATTTACAGGGTTAATAGAGAGTCTTCTAGGAGTTTTATGTATGTTTTCATCTTTTTGATTGAAAAAGTTTGCAGAAATTTTTTATAAAATTCACTTCCGGTCGAGTGATTACCTGTCCTCAAAATTAGAATTTATTCTCACAATATTGCTCAGCAACAGTAAACGACTGATGTCTAAAACTTTCAGGTCTGATAGTCAGTCATCAGTTTATTTGAATCGTGAGAAAATCTTGTATCGCCGTTACTTCCGGTCGTGACAGGAAGTGATGCAAAAAAGTGAATGGTTAATGGTTAGCTTTCTTGGATTTTCACGCTGAATTTCTTTTATCACTTTTTCAGAGTGAATTTTTGCTTTTATTTTCAGAATTGGACGGAAGACCTCTCATTGCTCGCAATGAGTTTCTAGTTATTATTATTATTATTTTTTTCCCCAAAATTTTGTGCAGGCAATTTCTCGAAAACTATTCAGTGGTTTTAAATGAAACTTTCAGGAATTATACGTCGTCAAATGAACTTTGTTCATCAGAAGGAAAATTTGGAAAACTCGCTTCTGGTGCCAAGTTATTGACAGTTTTCTGATTTTAAAATGAAATTTTGTCCCCCCTTTTTTTCAAAAATGGTTTAAGATATGAACTGGAGACTTGTTAGAGATGATAGATTTTTATTTCTAGATGAGGGGAATTACCTTTTTGTGCATCGTCAGTACTTCAGGTCATTACCGGATGCGAATTTAAAAAAGTCGAATTTTTAAACTTTTTTGTTTTTCTATATTTTTCTTTTATATTAGTAGGGTTAATAGAGGCTCTTCAGAAAGTGCTTTATATATAATTTATTTTAGAATTGATTAGTCCAATCTCTATATATTCACATTTCTAAATTTGAAGCGGGTCCAAAATGGCGGCTGTCTTCGTAAACTCCGACGAGCAGGTCGGCACTCGGAGCTCCTCGGGTGGCTCGTTCCTCGCACACTGACCTCGGACGTCAATGGTGTTCTACCATTTTGCTGATACAGTCATGTGATCTTATTTGAATTTCCTCCAAATGTTATACCTTTAAAGTCTGAATACTTTTAAGCACCCCAACTCTATATTTTGCTTTCAAAGACTACTTACTTGATGTTGTGATCAAAACTAATATCCAAGGAAGAGTTAGACAAGAGAAAAAAATGTTTGAAGAATTTTATGCAGAGTAAAATATGAAATGAGTTACAAGGCAGTTTCCGGTGGAGAAATGTAATCGATTTGATGCATATTTCTCCAACAATCACTTCCGAGGTTTGTATGGAGCATAGGAGAGTCAGTTGAGGATTGACGATTGGCAGGTTGGAGTTTACGGAGACAGCCGAGCGTCTTGTTGAATGAAACTACCATAAGGATCAATGAAATATAAAGGAATTGCTTGATCTTTCAGATTATGAAATGGATAATCTGTTTTTGAAAACATAAATACTCTGACCTCCAAATGCAATAAAATGAGTAATTTGTACGGTACATACAATAACATATATGAGAATGGAGACCATTCAATAGAACATACATTTCAAAGAAAAAGCGCTAAGATTTACTGGTGACGTAATGTATTGTGACTCTTCTTTCATAGTAGAAAATGATGCAGAAGTGCAGAAAAAGATGCGTGGACACGTTTGTATGAAATAGAGGTACATGGAATTGCATGGAATAAAAAGTTGAATACACAAAGAATACAGGAAGTAAACAGTATCATCAATTCATCAGTAATACTAGTAAATTATTTGTTATTCTTTAAACTCAAGTAACGAATTCTAATGTGAATCTGCTTGCACAAAATTTGGCTACCTAGCTCT